GCGGGTGTGCAGAGCCGTAGGTTAGCCCCCGTGGGAGGGAGAGAACCAAGTGTTTCCCATGCCTTTGTGTGTGGACCTCGACGGTGGTGTTCGCGTTGGTCGAATATTGCTGTGAGGGCTCAAGCTTACCGGAACTGCACGCGTCATGGCCGACAAGTCGAGTTTCGGGAGCTTGCTGACTGATTTTCTCGCATACCGACCCGTTCTACTGCTTTTGGCCTGTTTACCCTGCCGATATGCTTCTCACCATTTTGTATGATTGCCAAAACGCATTTTCGACAAACCTGCGGTACCATCTCGGATGGGCTGCTGTAGGCTTCTTCGATTGTCACTTGTACAAGTGTGTGTTTTTTCTAAAACCTGCCAGACAGGCAGCATTGCAAGTAGTCACCGCAGTACAGCGCAAGTGTCTGTAGTAGTAGGCATCATGGGCGTCGTGCGAGGTCTGTTGAATCGTACAGCCTTTGAGTGCGTTCTGAGAGACTGCACCTACTGTTGCACGGGTCTCCGGATGATAAGCTTTTTCCCTAAAGTGGGATGGGGGTCAGTAACATCAATTGTTTGCGGAGAGACTCAACAGCAGTCACATGCAAGATTGCTCCAGCTACGACTAGGTAGGTATCCCGTGGTGTGTGCGATACACGAGATAAATATGTGAAATATTTCGGTGCTTTTTGACTGCACTAGGAAGCAAATGGTAACCTCTTCCCGGTGTTGGAGGGTACATGGAGGGAATTGCCCACCCCATCTCGTTTTACGTCCCATGAATCTTTTGTGTTGCGTGTAAAAAAAGCAGTCAAGCGGTACAAGTACATCGGGAGCCATTGCGTTCTTCCCCTGCTGCCTACCAGTAGTACGGTAGTACAGTACGTGTTCCGTGCTGATGCGTCCCGCGGTCACGGACATGCACTACAACGTACCAGGTTTCCCCTCGACACCCTAAGTACGCACTGCTGTTGTGGCCGACCACAGGTGGTTTTTAAGACTATCCTCGCATCGGAGTTGCAGACATTTCATCCTTTACGTAAAATTATCCACCAAAGCAAGCGAAAGCAAGGTCGAATCGGACCAATAGTCGAGCCTTTCCAAGACATGCCATAAGCAAACGTTTTTAGTGCCCTCCCCCCTTTCCACCTCCTCCGTGTGACGCTTGCAGCTGGAAGGGTACGACTACCCGCCAGCCGTCGTCGATGCGTACAAAACCACCGCGACCGCGATCGGGGTCGAGGATATCAGCCCGGTCTACGTCGGCGTCGGTGTGGTGGCTGCTTCGGGCTTCCTCCTCTTGGCCTGCCGTAGCTGCCAGGCCGCCCCAAAGAAGAAAAAGGGGCGTGGATCTAAAAAGTCCAAGGCTAGAGCCAAGGCGGCTGCTAACGGAAGCGTGCAGAAGAACGGAGGGAGTGGGAAGGGTGGGCCGGTGGCGGCAGCTGGAGGGGCTGCCGCCAACGGTGGATCGGGGGCCCGCGACCTTGCTGGCAAGAAGCCCAAGCCTGCAGCTGGCGGTGCACAGGCCGCTGCCCCTAAGGCCTCCAAAAAGGCTCCCACGAAGGCACCCCAGCCCCAGGGGAAGGGCAAGGGCAAGAAAAAGCCCGTGGCAGAAGCTCCTCCGGTGATCACGGTGAGTTGAGGCGGATAGACGCCATTGGTTTGCATGGCCACAACGTTCTCAGTGATGGGCGTCCCCGCCCAGGTTGTTGTTTTGGATGCCGATGTGTGTTTTCGGGTGGGATGTTTTTTGTGTCGGAAGAATGGTGAGTCTCCACCGAGACCAGTCACCACTGGTTTAGTTTGTAACCTTGTAGACCATCTGACGGATGTTTCTGGATTCGAAGCTCCTAGAGCAGTAGGCTAACAATAGCGTTGCAAGCCATCGTCGTGAGGAAACACAAAGAAGAGGGGAGGGACTGCTGAACCCATCTGAAGTTGAATAATTTGCAGAAAGGGAGAGAAAAGTGCGCCAGTACCATCCATCCTCCTGTGTGACTCCGACTCTTGCGTCAAACACATGCTGGAGTATTCTGAAAGGTGTAGAGTGGCGCACAGAATAGATTGGATTAACAACACATGCACACACACGTACGCTCAAGGAATTGACCCTCTCGTTGACCTCGCCGAGCGAGAAGGAAGCGTGTGACGGCGCAAGACTGGCAGCTATGGGTGACAAATTCCGCCGGGTCTAAGCAATAGTAATTTTTTTTTCGCGGTGGCACCGTGAGAAATAACAACGACGTGAACATTTTAGTTAATGGGTTGCGAATATTAACAGCCACCCGCGTTCTGGTTCAACCACTGCCAAAATAAGGATCCGGATGACCTTCGGAACTACCGGAGCTCGACAGGTGCTCCTTCCCCGTTCCTCCAATTGGCCCAATCCACCTCCAAGAAGCCCTGCCATCACATTCGTTAGGTAGTGTGCCCTGTCTCGCACCACCGACTGCTGTAGCACTCAACCAACCGCACGCCCTTCCGCGTGGTCATTGTGCCTGCTGCCCTTACTGCAGGAGGAGCCGGAGGCGGCGAAAAAGCTCAACAAAAAGAAGGAGAGGGCCGCCAAGAAGGCCAAAGCGGCGGCGGCGGCGGCGGCAGAAGCAGCAGCCAGTAAAAAGACGTCGAAAAAGAACTCGACGGCGGCGAACGGTTCGACACCGGGCGGGGCAGGATCCCGACAGGCACACCAAAACGGGGGTGGCGGTGCCGGAGAAGCCGACCCCTGGGGGGCGCAGCATGCAGGAGGCGAATGGCAGACGGGACCCATGGGCTCGCAAGAGGGGGAGTGGGAAACGGTTTCCCACAAGAGGTCCAAGCCTCGGAAGGAGAAGGCGGCGGTGGACGATGCGAACGCCATCCCCGGCGGGCTTGGACTTTGACCAACGCTTTGGTGTTGTTGGTGCCCATATCCATTGTCCATCGTGGGCTGGAGTTGGGGCCCCGCGGTGCTCCTCGTCAGTGACGGCGGTCTGCCGGTCCTCTGTTGTGCGTGTTTATTATCTCGTATTTTCTGTTGCAGCATATGGAGTATGATCAAGTTGGCGGTCGCTGGCGGGTGGTGTTTCCCGTTTCCCCGTCTGTTGAAGGCTGTCGGGGTATGGGCGGCGGTTAGGACAGCGGTGTAGCTGTCGTGCGTGAGCAAGCAGAGTCGATGGGTGCGGTAACCTAGAGCGCGTGGCAGGTGAAACAGGTCGAACGCCAGGCGATATGCACACTAGGCGAGCGTGTAAATCTTGGGGGCACATTTGATTGATGCAGATAAACGCTTGTTGGCAGTGTTGGGGTGCGTTAGATGGGAGATACACTGTGGCGCATGGGGTAGCAGGTTAAGATTAGGTATGGGACAGTCGACAAGCAGTATCATGTTGTTCGGCAGGTTGCGCAACGAGCAAACTATTAGGGTTAAACTTAAATCTTGTGTGTGAAATGAGGGAATCGTCGTAGAAAGTACTTGGGAGGGTGCTTCCCTTTCGAGGGTCATCTCCACGGTATCCTCCACTTTCTATGAGACTTGAGGTGTAAGCGGAACCCGACCGCCTGGCTGCGAGTTAAACAGGTGCGCTACGTCCACCACGTCACCAAAGTCTCATCACTTCGCAAGTCTTCTCGTTTGTCCAGAATCAGATCCCTCTGCGTCGACGCCAGTGTTTCGAAGAGGGAATCCACGAGAGACGTTGGGGACACGCTGAAGGTTATGTTCACATGAGCGGAAATACCCATTTGTTGGGGAAGAATGTAGCGACCATGCTTGCCCAGCGCGCATGGGTTGTCATTCCGCTAGCTCACTGACATATGTTGGAAGTTAATATTCGGAACAGGGAACCGAACAACTCGCTATTTGTAATCTCATCCTCTACCCCGAAAGATGTCATCCAAGGGGTTCGTATGGGAATAAATGCGTGTCGCTGCTGCCGGCTGGTAGGTGGATTCTACAATTAATTAGAGGTTTGCAGAGGCGTCGCCGTTTCTGTGTCCACCTCTGACGTACGTCACATGAAGGGTACTCTATGTGGGTGCTATGGTGTAGGGTGCCTCCGCTCTACGAGTGGACAGCGTGTAAAAGTTCACTTGCAGACAACTTTAAATCTCTGTAGGTGTTGTTGTTCTGGCTGACATCACTGCTTTATAAGTGGAAGTGCTTGGACAGACTCAACAAGTCCCGTATCGAGCAGGTGTCCCTCAATCCTAACTGGAAAGATTCAGTCAACAAAACAAATCTCTCACGTGTGTCTCGAACGGGTAGCGCAGTCCTTCTCTTCAACGTCTTGCATGCTCTCTACAAGTGTGTACCAGCCATTCCAGCAAAAATCTGTCCTGGGTCTCGGCCGCACACCTCGTTGTGATCGTGTGGGAGAGCTTATCGCCAAGTTGGCGATGACCGAGTGCCGGCACACGCAAGTGTTTGCCGCATAACATCATGCGTTGAAGGCGGGACCATTAGCGGACGCCAGAACGCAGTGCCAACGAACAACAACCACCGGCATGTCGCGGATTTGGTGGACGCTACACACCTTGGTTGGTGCGACAGATTAACCGGTCTTGTTTCGAAGGTTTAATATGGTATCGAGTTGTTATTACCCCCATTTGTGTGTTTGTCGTGTTCGACATCGGGTTACATCGAACCAGAGGCACACCCTAAAGGCACTGATACACGACTTCTTTTTGTTCGAGACTTTACAACAACGGGCTTTAAGACACGCTATTCCTGCCCGCCACTGCCTTTAGCTCCAGACTGATGAAACCCGTACTTTGATGGAAGGCAATCGATTCGCGCAGACCCAACCCCCCGAACGAAAATATTTCACACGGCATGGCTAGAGTGCGACAGCATCCTGGTCGCACATGTACATGAGCGAAAAAAATCCTCGGGGAGATACGATGTTTTTTCGGCCTGGCGGAGAGAGGAGAACTCCGCAGACCTTCATACGGGGATCCGCCTGCCTCCTATCGCTTGTCCTGACTAACTATTCTCAAGTCTTTAGCCCGACAAGCAACCGAAGATGCTACCGTCCTCAAGCTCCTCGTACTGCAACAGCCGAAGCACGGTGTGGGCGCGACCTGGTCCGTCTTCGTGTCCCACAGGCCCTCGCCGCTCTGAGGCCGGTGCCGCCAACAGCGAGCCCCTCGCCCACTCGCCGCGTACCTCCTCCCCTCTTCTCGCCCATCCTCGTTTGATCGCGCCGCATCGTGCCTTCGAACAGTTTCGAATCCCCCCGTTCCCGCTGTTCGCCAACGTCCGTGCTGGATATTCTGGCGGGTCGGAAACGTGGGAGCGAGACTACCGGTGCTGCTCGCGGGCGCGTCGCGACAGTGACTGTACGCGTTCCGGCTAAGAATGCTCTCCTTTCTGGTCCCTTTCGGGACAAATCTCGGCGGAGACGTTCGTTTCGCTTCGCGTAATGTGCACGAATGTCGCGGAATTCTTGGAGGTGCGCGTTGTTTGCCCCACGGCCGCGGTTGGTAGAAGCCCCCCAGCCTTCGCTACGCGTTTTCTGCCCTCTCGCCGCCAGCGCACCTCCCCGCCGAGAGAGAGTGGACGACTTGCGTCGGTGGCTCCCTCCCGCCGCAGCAGCCTTCTTCCGTTGCATCCACTCGCGAATAATGCGGTCCTGCCGCGCGATTCGTATTGCCTCTGTTCTCTCACCGGCCAGCTTACGCTTTGCCTCAATGCGCTTCTTCTCTCCAATAGCGCTTCGAAACCCTCCGTCACCACCCTGTCGCCCTGCTACTGCCCTTGGATGTCTATGCACATCCGGCAGTTGCGTGAGAAAAGTGGATGCCCCCCCCCCCCCCACCCGCGAGCTCGACGCTCTCACCCTGGCTCTCAATCCGACTCCACTAGTGTTGCCCATGTTTGCTCCTGTTCTCCTCTTCTGGTGCACACTGTTTTCCACGATCGTCCCAGGCTTTCGGCGTACGCGGACAGAATAGTACGTTTGTGACGGCGTGTCGATCGTAGCTTCGGTGGTCTGCTTCGAAAAGCTGAGCCGCCTGTTTCTCGATCCCACGCCAGGCCTTCCCACATTGCTTCGCCGGTGAGGAACGTCACCGTCCCCGGCTCTGCCTAAACTTCTTCTTTGTCCCACCGATCTGGATATATCTTCGGCGGTAGACCCCGCCCCTCCCTGTTTCGTGGCGCGGAAGTCATCGTAGACATTGCTCTTCTCCAATGAACTGATTCGTTTTTCGAGCTCAACCAGCTTGTCAAGGCTGCCAAGCACAGTGTCAAGCGCACCCACTCGTTTTGGTGGTCCATGCCCAGCCCCAGCTGTACCTCCCGCACCAACCCCCTCCCTTGGATCCCTGCGCGCCGATGCCGGCCCGCTACTTTCGGTCGTGTGTAACTTGCCGAGCAGAAGCTGCTGTTTCTCACGTTCGAGCTGCTTTTGAGCTGCCCGATACTTGACTCTTCTCGCCTTCATCTCTCCCCTCTTTTCAATCTGACAACCCGAGGCGCAAGCGGTTCACAAAGGCCATGAACGAAGGCGTTAAAAGGTTTTGAATAATTGCAGCCACCGCAGCTCTGTTGAAGTACGCGAGTGCCACGATCTTTGACCAACACATGAATGATACACAAGCTAAGGTGTTGCATCGAGGGTGCTCCGGACGTTGATCCGAACCATAGCATGGCTTGGATATGTCACACCGGAGACGACCTAAAGACTGCATCCCGTAAGTTGCGAAGACTCTGCTCGAGGATGCAAACACATTTTGGCGCAGGATTGAAATCCACGAAGCAATATACGTAGTTCGCGACAAGGTGAGTCCTCTGTTCGTTCAAGTTTGTCTTTGACGGGAAGGACCAGCACACGCGGCAACCTTGAGAAACTCCAGTCAGGACACAACTGTTGTGACCGATCAACGTCGTCTCTGCTGCTCTGCTATGTAGAGGTCTTCGGGATGTGTACACCAGTTGTCGCATCTATCTCCTTTAGCCTTGCACTATTGTGCTGTCGTCTATTCGGTTCATTTGAATTTCTTGAGTGTGGATGAAATGCGAGATTTTCTGGGTACTACCGACGTGACCCAGGAGGCGAAGATCCCAAAGCTTCTTCGCATGTTACAGTTTCGATGGATGGGTTTTGGTTTGGAACATCAACTCTCAAATTGTTTACGGCCCACTGTCGTTGTAAATCGCAGACGTATCGCCGACAAGCGTCGACAGCCTTGATTTATGTGGTGACATCCAGCTTGACAACAAAGCTACTCTGTAGACATTGGTATCAGAAACAATGTCTAGGCTAGTCTATGCAGTAGACTGCAGTAAAAACCTGAAGGAGGTTGTTTCTATGGATCCATCAGGAAATACACATGCATCCTTGCGATTATGAAGTGTGATGTTCAACTCGACCTCGCGTATTTATTACGCACAGAGAGCAATCAAATTATACGCAGCCGCCACGATGGTGCGCTTCACAGGCACTCATGCACATATGTGCCATGTTTGTTTACAGTATGTTTTTTTTCCCAATAAATACGACCCGCAGAACCGCTCGGTGCCCAACGCCACACATACATGTATTCTACACCTGGTGGCGAAGGTTCCTCAAGCTCCGGATATGCGCAGCGACCTCCGTGTCCAGTCTACCCTCCGTCTCCTCTTCCTGCTTCTCGTACTTGCACATGAAGTCCTTGCTGACCTGGAGGGGCTTGCTCTGCTCTTCCTCGATCACCTGCTGCATCCAAGCTGCCCTTTCGTCCGTGGGCATCGACAGTGTCGTCATGGCCGGGACCGGCCTCGATGTGCCCCCTCCCCGAGCCTTAATTTTCTTCGTTTTCAAAAGAGCAGCCTTCAAGGCTGCCTGGTTCGCCAACTTGTGCCAGTGAAGCAGTTTTATCTCTGCGCGAAGGTTATCCATCGCTTTGGTCGCATTTCCATCACCGGTTGCACTTGGCATGCCACGCGCTACGTTAGTCGGTCCCGAATGCCCAGAGCGAGCAGACATTGGTACGCCGCCTGCATGCGGCGTGCCCCCGTTACGTTGTCCCTTCGACCACTGAAAAGCTTCGAACTCTGACACCCAGCCATCATGGGCAAGCCTCGCGTCGCCGCTCACCTCTGTTGTATGCGGAGTGGCCGAGAGAACGTCCAAGGTCATGATGCCAGTGGCAGCAACGGCAACGGCAGTGCATGCCGTAGTGGCAAGCCTTTCGTGCCTCCGGTGTATCTCGACGTGTGCTGCCTTCAACACGTGATCTCGACAAGCATACCAATCAGTGGCGGTGGCTTGTTGATGCCGTGGTGAAGGTAGGCACCTGATATGCGGAAGACGGCCCTCGTGTACGATTTCCGATGGCCGACGAACAAGAGAAAAGAGTCTCGCGAAAAATCGATCGTCGTCGCCGGCCGGCCGTATCTTCAAAATATGGCGGTTACTTTTTCAACGATAAGAAAAAATAACAGGAAACAGGAAGCGGGCGATTTTGTACTGGTGGTGCATGAAAAAAAAAAGAAAAAGGGAAAGGAGGAAACCTCGGGTTTTGTAGGAAGAGTTCTGCGATCCGTCACGTGTTTGACTCGACCTTACTCGACCATCCCGCCCTCGATTAACTCACGAGTTTTTGCACTAGATGCGCAAAGAAAGCCAGTACCCTGGATCGACTGCTGTGAGTCGTTTAGGCACCCTGACACATAGTCCTGTTTGATTTTGACGAGCCACCTCTATGACATACCACATGGCATATATATCATACACACACACATACATGCATGTACGGTGTGGCTTTCTCTCTATCCAACAACAGAACCGCGTGACCACCAGTATTCGGATAGCATGCAGAGAGCCCGCAGCTCGCACTGCATAGGAGTAGTAGCCGTCGCGAGCAGAGCACAGGACAATGGCGGGCGCTGCCTCGACAGATCATGCACAGAGGATGAGAAAAGATCCAAGTTAAAAACTCTCCAACGGCCACAACTAGTAGTAGTCTTTCTTGCTTCTAAAACTCAGCAGACCAACCCAGCGCTGCGTCGTGACTAAATAAGCAGCAGGGCAAGGAACCAAGACCTGCTTGGAAAAACGTGTGTTGTATTGGTCTGAAAGGGTTCATTCGGCTGCCAGACTCTCTGTTTAGCCGGGGGGCGCACCCTCTCTCTCTCTCTCATCAGCTGTCGCATATCAGCTTCGAGGCTCTCTGGTGGGCGGCGTACGCTCTCTCTCTCTCTCTCTCTCTCTCTC